ATACTGTGTTATGATTTCACAAGAAGACACTTTATGGATGCCAGCATCTTGATATTAGACTTCCAGCCTCCAGAACTGTGAGGAATGCATTTTGGTTAATTACAAGTTTCCCAGTCAGTAATACCTTCTTGCCTGACAGGCTAAGACACTGGCCCCGTAGAAAATTGTGTAAGACACTATGGAGAGAATCAGCAACAGCAAACCAAGTGGAAAAGCAGCCAGTGATAGAAAGTAGAAAAGGGAAAATAGTTGGAAAAACTACAATGCCCAACTATGAACACGTGCAAAGGTGTAATAACCTAAGCTTTTGTCAATTCAACAACAAACACGATACTAGAACTACCTACGGATGGTGGGTGGGAGCAAGAAGATGAGGTGGAGGGAGTCAGAGCCCTAAGGGGTGTTTTCTGTGCAGTTTTTCTATGAGCTGCCTCTGGTCATGTCAGGAAGAGGCAACACCAGCAACTGTGACCCAGAGTTGTAGAGCTGCTACCTGCAAAGCTCCGCCCCCAACCCTCCCGCCCCCCACCCTGTTCTTCTCCAGCTGAGGTCTGTGGTAGGCAGCACCAACGGTGTTTTCATACTAACACCACTGAGTTGTCCTTTATCTGTGATTTGAACACCCTTGTCCAGAGTACTAGGCTCCTGTCTTGGTTACTCTGAGTCACTGTGTAATGAATCATCTTTAAGGACAGACTTCCATGAAAGGAAAAAGCCTCCTGCAAATAGCCAGCCACATGAAGAAGCTTCGATGTAGATACTCCAGCTCAGTCAAGTCCACCGATGACTAGAACTGGGCAACATGAGTCTTTCCCTCCTAAGAGACCATGAGTCAGAATTTCCCAGCAAAGTGGCTCCTCAATTCTTCACCCTCATATACCATATGACATAACAAGTTTCTGTTGCTTAAAAAAAAAATCACTAAAATTTGGAGTGATTGCAACATAGCAATACATAATGAATTCAGGGACTGGAAGGTAACTATAGGAGTGCTATCTTTCATTATCCCCCTTTTGTAGATTTGAAAGGTGAAACAAAAAGTTTAGCCATTTACCTAGAGTCTTACGGTAACACTGACAACCTTAGGACTTGAGCTTTTACAGTCTTTCTGTTTAGCCATCAGCTCACACGGCAAATACTTGCATGACTTTTTATTACATAAATTGTTAAGCATTGTTCTTCAGAACAACTAAAAGTGAAATTAATAATAATGATAACGAAAACGGGGATGGGAAATAAGTGTGTTGAACACAGTATGTCTCAGAACTGCTAACTGCCCTACCATCCCCAGCTGTTCCAGCTGGGGGCAGAGGCAGGTACCACAAAGAGCTGAGCTGCCCTTATGACCCTTGACTGGGGCTTGTTGCCAGAGTTTGTTTTTCTCCTCTGCAGTGAGTCATTTGTGATAAAACTGGCAAGAGAATGTATGCTCCAATGACTTGGCCAAATGCATTAGACAAACAGAGCCTTGAAGACTATTGTTTATGATTCAAAGCCAATCAAGGGCTCCATCATAAAATGGGGACAGTAACACCCAAAGCAGAGGCATGTAGAAGCTCTTTGGCCTTTAGGTTAGAGAAACAAGAAGTGCCACCTGAGGAGATAACAGTGGGCAGAGTGCTTGCTGAGTGTACACAGGCTGACATGCACAAAGCTGGGCTGGGGCGATGCTAACTAAATTTCCCCAGGAAGGATCAACTTCAAGGTCCTAGGCTGCCCTCTGGGAAGTAGAACTGTACTTGGCAGTCAGGAACTTCTGCTCGTAAGTGTTTGCGTAATAATTGTGAACAGCTTTAATCCCAGGTTTCTAGAGGCAAAGGCTGGGTCTCCTTCCCTTCAAGGCATGATTAAGCAGCTGATCCCAAGGCTAAAATTGGCAGTCCACATCTAAAGCTTTCTGGCCCATATTGGAAGCTATGTTGTGTCATAAGTACAATTGCCTCTGCTTTTGTGGGTGATTCTTGAAGATTACTGTTATGTAATCGTGGTGTGTCTTTATTCTTATGACTTCCCAGTATACTCACAATAAAACCCAAACCTTATATGGGAACTACAAGTCCGAGACAATGGGTACGGCCAACTTCACCCAGATTTGTTATGCTTCTCCAAGCAGTGCCATTCCGGTGCCCGCCTTCCCTCCTCTGCTTCTTGTTGGCAATTAAAGACGACACCTCTTAGCTTTGGGCATCTTACATAGCAACAGATAAGTACCCGGGACACTGACCATGCGCTGGTGTGGAGCCAAGCCCTTCCCTTCTGCTCAGCCCCAGTGTGGTGCTGAGAACGAAATTTCAAGATAACTGAAGGAAAACTTCAAGATAACTGAGTTCTGAAGAGAAGAACCCAGCTTTGCAAAAGTGCCTTAGTTAATTAAACGAGAGCCCTGGGTTCTTCTGGGGACCCTGAATTTTAGAATAGAGAAAGTGGGACGTGGAGGAAAGGGTGCCAGGTATTTCATTTTGATAAGACAACTTAAAATGTACGAGTTGGCCAAAGTTCGTCATTTCCAGTGATCACTTTATCACCCCCGATGTTTTTGTCGCTAAGCACCTACTTGCCTCTACATTCGTAAAAGCTCCCACATTATGAGCTTAAAGACAAGAAAGAATGCGCCGAGATCTCATGCCTTCAGTGCTCGCGATTTTCTCGTAGTTTCTCCTAAAACCAGTTCCTGCGGTGAGTTGCGAGCCCAGCTCTGCTCTTCCCCAGCACCGTTTTCCAAGTCGTGATCTGTGCACCTTCCTGTTTGCGCTCTGCGGTTCTCAGTCCTTAAGCCTCGGAGCAGTTAACTTCAGCCCATCCACGTGGAGCCAGCAGAGGCAGGAGAGCGAACTCGAAGGACAGGCGGGGTGCGCGCAGGTCCGACAGGATAAGGCCCTACATGGCTGCCTTTGAAGTTTCGTGTCCACTGGTGCTAGTGGAAAACCACCCGTCGGGGAAAGTTTCCCCTGGCCCCGGGCAGAAGAAAACCTTCCCAATTTTCTCTGAACCCTGAGATTGAGTTCCTGGTGGTAGATACACAGCTTCCGCCCAACAAAGCCCCTGACACCACAGGGATGCACCAGACCCTAGGGAAGGGCGCTTGACACAGTCTGTGTGATGGAGTACAGCCCAAGCTGGGGAAAGAAGGCCCCCTTGAAGGCGACAGCCCGGAGGCCAGATTTCTGGGGTGTGCGAAGGAGTCGCTCCAAAGCGCTTCCTTGGGGCAACAGAGGCCCAGGAGAGTGCCGGAGCCTGCGCCTGGCAGGGAACACCAGCAGAAGAGGCTCATGAGGAGAGGACTGGCTCCGGACTTCAGAGCCCTTTCACTGACTTAGAATCTCAAGCTCAGGGTTTCCCCAGCTGGTACACCAAGTCCTCGAGCAACTGAGTGGAATAAAGAGGCCCATACCGAGAGCGTGGGTTTTCTAGGCAACTGTGCGAGGCCACACAGGAGGAGTGGGGCACAGTTTGCTGAGAGGGGCGCCTCCGTCCCTGGAGACTGGAATTCCTGCTTGAGGCCAGAATTTCAGACTTCAGGAAAGCAGAAGCTTTGTTTAGATGACCTGCGTCCCAGTGCCTGTCTGGCTCTGACCCAAACTGCTGGTTCTGCCCTCCCTGGAGATGAGCCCTGGGGAATGAGGTCTCGGCTTCGGGGCTGGAGATCACCGGAATCCTTGCCCTTCAGGCTAAGGGGTCTTGAGTGAATCTAATACCCCCCCCACCAGCTTGCCCACATTGTGTTAAGTACTCTTCTGGAGATGGATAGCTCTTGAATTGCGGATAGCTCTTGGGTTCCAACTTAGGGCTGGAGGAGAGAACCATCTACAGGAGGAGAAAGAAGAACCGAGAGGACTTGAAAGTGGGAATAGACGGGGCTGGAATGCTGTTTCAGATACGTCCCAAGAAGTTGTATTGCAGCAACCTAAACCTCCAAGTGGGGCTGGTGAGTCCTCACTCTGCAAACGTGACTATTTCTTTCCAAAGCAGCCACCACCGCTCAGTTACAGGTTCGAATCTGCGGATCTCAGATCCCTGGCGAGGCCCCAGAGCAGCAAGTTGAGGGACGCAGCAGAAGTTGGCTTCTGGGCGTTGATATTCTCCTGGAAGTGCGCTGAAATGTACTTCTCCCCACACGACTCCGTTGGAGGTTGTGTGTGGAGGAGGGCCCGGAGGAAGAGAAGGGGAAAGGGAGAGGGACCGAGAGAAGCTGGCAGCGAAGGGACAGGGGACACTAGGGAAGTCTGCCGAGGTTGTGCAGCTTCTTTACAACAGGCCGGAGGTAGGAGTTTTCGCAGGGAAGCGGGGGCTCCAGCTGAGTCTGGGGGAATCCAGACCAAACCCAGCTCTCCCTATGGTTACTCCTAATCTGTAAAATGGGAATAACCCCGCGCCATGAAGATCAGCCTTAAAGCTGTGAGGACCCTCCCCCCCCATAAGTTTTTGCCATCATAGGAAGCGGAAGTAGATTCTCTCCTCCAAACACCATAGTTACATTAAAAAAAAAAAAAAAAAAAAAAAAAAGGAAGACCCTCCCTCCCTGCCCCTTCGCTTGCTGGCCACCTCCCCCTCCCGCGGCTTCTGGTAGCTGAGTTGTGTGCGTTTCTGGTCTGTCCTCCCGGGAGAGGCTGGTGCAAAAGCCAATAAGCCCGGAACACACTCGGGTCCTTCAGGACCCGGGACAATGGTTTCCATTTAATAAATATTTCCCCCAAGGGCATTTCACGTCGGCCAGGCAATTATTCAAAGGAAACAGGCACGCAGGTTGGCTCCGAGGGTTATTTCGTCCTCTTTACCCGAAGAATGCTCAGCTGACTCAGAAACGAGCCCCCATCCTCGCTGGATGGGGAAAGGCACCCTGGGAAAAATCGAGCCGAGCTGAGAGGGTACAGCCCGAGGCTCCCGGCTACGGGCGGCAGGAAGACCCCCGCACCCCGCCTGCGACTCTGCGCTTCCATCCAGTGCGGGCCGCTGAGGAAAGCTGGGAGTTTAAAACCGACTAACAACAACGGCGTAAAGAAATGAGAATCGCCATAGACCCCTGCCCGCCGATTTCAGCCCCCCACACCCTTCGCACTCAGCCAAGAGTCCTAGCGTCAAGGGCCCCCAAAGTGAAGAGGTGTCGTAGCGTTAAGGTGTCACCCATCAGGACTCAAAACCTCTGCAAAGCCAGGAAGCATCCCGGCCTCCGCTCGGAGCCCAGGGGCCCCGAGCATCCTGGGGCACAGGTGGTGGCGGCCAACGCCGACCTGGGAGCAAGAGACCAAAGCACAGCAGAGGTTCTGGCGCCAAAAGTTTATTTTTGTTTTGTTTTGTTTTGTTTTGCCCTGAGTTTGCTACATCGTTTTCCTCTCCCAGGGATCTTTGCCGTGTGTGTGTGTGTGTGTGTGTGTGTGTGTGTGTGTGTGTGTGTGTGCCGGGGTGCTGTCTCCGCCTCGGGTGACTAGGCTGTCCTGTCTATCTCCTGCGCCCTAGGCTGGCCGCCTTTGCTGACGGCTCGCTGGATCTTCGCGTCGGAGGCACCGGTTCCCTTTGGAACGACCGAGGAAGAGGACGCGGCCGGCGGGAGAGTTTTGCCATCCGGGCAGAGACAGCGTGACGCCGCCGGAGCCCCGAGCCCCCGGGCTCCCTGCTCGGCTCGGCTCCCTGTCCCCCGCACCTCTCCCCGCCCCCACCGGGGACGCTCCGGCCTCCGCCGGTGGCGAGCTGGCAGGTGCGCCCCCTTCGCCTTCCCCGCCGCTGATTGGCGCCCAGGTTGGGGAGTCGCCGCCCCGCGCTTATGTCAGAGTGCGTGCGGTCCCGGCCCACCTCGCCTTTGAACTTCGCCGCTCTTGGCTGCGGTTCACCAGCCTCCCCGCATTCTCGGCCAGGTGCAGTGCCAGGCACGGCAGCGCCGGGAGAAGCCACCGGCAGGGGTGGGGGAGAGCCACGGCCAGAGCAGCCCGGGGGAAAGGACGGGAACGAGAGGAAGGCGAAGGTGAAGAGGGAGAGAAGGAGGAGCCTCCCACCCTCGCCAGAAAAAAAAAAAAAAAAAAATCACCTGGCCACTTAACCCCAAGACTCCGGTGCCGGGGCCCCCGTCGCTGGTGCCCGCGGGGCCGAGGGCTCTCTTCTCCCCGCTGCCCCTTCCCGCCCTCCGGCCCCCCGGGGGCTGCCTGGGTGCCGGGACTGGCATGATCAGTTGAAAACTTTGCAAGGCTCGGCTCTTCCCTCTGCTCTCCCTTCTGCGGGGGGCTCCGAGGCGAGGGGGGCCAGCTCAGAGTCCCCGGGGCTCGGGACGAACGGACGGAAAGACAGCCGGCCGGCCGCGCCCAGGCTCGCCCCGCAGGGCCCCTGCCTTCCCCGCCCCCGCCCGCCCGTCCGCCCGCCCAGCCGGGACCATGTCCAAACCTTCGGACCACATCAAGCGGCCCATGAACGCCTTCATGGTGTGGTCCCGGGGCCAGAGGCGCAAGATGGCCCAGGAGAACCCCAAGATGCACAACTCGGAGATCAGCAAGCGCCTGGGCGCCGAGTGGAAGCTCCTGTCCGAGGCCGAGAAGCGGCCTTACATCGACGAGGCCAAGCGGCTGCGCGCCCAGCACATGAAGGAGCACCCGGACTACAAGTACCGGCCTCGGCGGAAGCCCAAGAACCTGCTCAAGAAGGACAGGTATGTCTTCCCCCTGCCCTACCTGGGCGACACGGACCCCCTCAAGGCGGCCGGCCTGCCCGTGGGGGCTTCCGACGGCCTCCTGAGCTCGCCCGAGAAAGCCCGGGCCTTCTTGCCGCCGGCCTCGGCGCCCTACTCCCTGCTGGACCCCGCGCAGTTTAGCTCCGGCGCCATCCAGAAGATGGGCGAAGTGCCCCACACCTTGGCCACCGGCGCTCTGCCCTACGCGTCCACCCTGGGCTATCAGAACGGCGCCTTCGGCAGCCTCGGCTGCCCCAGCCAGCACACGCACACTCACCCGTCCCCCACCAACCCGGGCTACGTGGTGCCCTGTAACTGTACTGCCTGGTCCGCCTCTACCCTGCAGCCCCCTGTCGCCTACATCCTCTTCCCGGGCATGACCAAGACTGGCATAGACCCTTATTCGTCAGCCCACGCTACGGCCATGTAACCCTCCCCCAGCTTGGCCCGGACCTGATGGGTGGCTGGCTGGCTGGCTGGCTGGCAGGCTGGCGTGGAAGCACAGATCTGAAATCTCTTTCCCTCGCACCTAGTCTGGCCCGCAGACGTCTCTGGGTCAGGCCTGCCCGCTGCCCCCTTGCCCACCCCAGACTCTGCGCCTCTCTCTCTCTCTCTTCCGGGGGAGGGGGAAGGGAGGAGCCGTCCTCCTGGACCCAAGGCACAGACCCCGTGCCGGAAATTTCCAAACATTGAGACAGCTGCACACCTGCCCCTCTCCCGACTCTCCCAAAGCAAGTCTCCGACTGTACCCCCTTCGGACAAAACAAAACAAAAAATCTGGCAGTTTTGCTTTATTTATGCCCCTCCCGTCCCCCCATTCTCCTGGGATAGGCTTTGGACTCGGAACTCCCAGATCCGGAATTATATCTAGAATACGCGTATATATATATATTTATATTTTTTTTCCTTTCCCACTGAAGAAAAGAGCTGGGTCTCGGTGCCATCAGACTCAGCTAGGCACCATTTGCTCTTCCTGTGGGACGGGGGAAGAAAGGCTTAAAAGTTTAAAACTTCAGGAAGGGAAACCCTTCTGTTTAATGCTATACTATGGTCGTGTTTGCTCTGATAAAAACGAAAAGGACCACATGGCTTCACTTTGTGTAACGCAGTCCTCCTAGACTCCTAAGTTTACTTTTTAGACAGAATGTCAGGTTATGAAGTCAGGAAGTAGAAAGTGGACAAAAAAAAAACCTTAATAATAATAAAAATCCTACATGGTCATAAATGTTTTGACAATGTCTTGGAAATGTACCTAGAAGGATTTTTTTTCCCTCGTTTCTCTGTTCATTTGTTGAACAAAGACGTTTTGAATAAAGACAATCTGTCGTTGAAAAAAAAAAAAGTAACCTTTGGTGTGAGTAAAATCAAGTCAGGAGGCTTAGTTAGCTCAAGACGCCAGAGTCTTCCTCCTGGCTGACAGCCCCTAGAAGGGCTGGAGCCGCCAAGGCTGGAGGATGTCCTGCCCGGGCAGAACCTGGTGGCCTGTGACCTCTAGAGGAGCCTTGAATCTGGGATCTATCTGGGCTGCGCCCTGATGACCCGGGAGTTTTGCCTTTAGAGGCTTGACAAAGGTTGTCCATCCCAGAGTGCCATGCCTTCCCACCATCTTCATAAACAGGGTCAAAGCACTTACAGCCCTGAATGGACTAAGACAAAGGTGGGGTCTCAGGAGTTCTGGGACGGTTTGCTTTTTGAAAACTCCGCTCTGGGGGGGGGGGGGGGGGGGTCGTGGTCTTGGAGGAGACAAGTTTCGCTCCTGGAGCGATCTGCTGTGGGTGCTTCAGTTAGGGGCATGGCGTGAGAATGCAGTAATTGATTTTTTTTTTCTGTCAGTCCCCTGAGAATCTGGGACCCCAGGCTAAGTTCTTAAGTTATTTTTTTTTTAACTGATGGATAACATCTTTTTTTTTGGGGGGGGGGGGGGGGGTCGCCCCCTTGTGGGGGAAAAAAAAAAAGATGGGTGGAAAAAGACAGGAAAAAAAGCTATGTTGCCATGCCTCAGGCCGAGTTCTTCAAACAGTTTTTAAAAGGAGACCAGGTCCTTCTCTTTCCCCCGCTGTGTAATTGCTTGAGGGTGCCTAGGCTTTGCTGATGGGGCCCAGCGCAACAGCCCTTCGGAGTTTGCTGTCTAAATCGAAATGTGCTTCTCTCCTCCGGTGTTCCCCAAGAGTTTCACTCCCGAAATCCGTCGCCCCTCATCTTTCTGTGGGCAGCGTGCTTCCCCCTCGCCCTTGGCTTGGCTTTGGGGCCTGGAAAGGATGGCTCAAGGCCTTTTGAGTACTGTTGAGGGATTTGTGAGAGCCCTCTCCCCCCCCTCCCCGAAGGACTCGGTAGCGGGAGGAGGGAGAGAAATGTTGTCAACAGTCACCAAAGGCAAAACCACCGGATTAGCATATTGTCCGCAAAACAATTAGAAGGGTTTGAGGTGCTGTTTGGAGCCTATTCATCCAAGCCCCTTTGTCAAGGGGGGATTTTCATTATTAAAAAAAAAAAAAAATAAGTTAGCAGTTGTCCATCTGGCTGCGCTGAATAGCGAAGTGATTCGTGTTGTATATGCTTTTCTCATTAAGAGCTCTTTTGAGACCGATGTTAGAATTAAATGGTATTACACAATTAACATACAAGGCCGCTGAATAGGACGGGACGCCTATAAATAATAGATAGATAAATAAATGAACGCTCAGGCTAAGGTAAACAAAGGCGGGCTTGGGGGGGAGGGAGGTGTGGAAGAGGCCAGGCCGGCTGAGCCACGCTTATTTAGCATTACAAAACCCTCTTACAAATCGAGACAATTAGGAAGTGACGAGCCTCTGGTGGCCCAAGGGTCCAGGGACTCTGGGCGCCCCTCCTCCCGCCCCCTAGGAAGCCCAGGAGGCCTGGGACGCCGGCGCTGCTTCCGTTGTTTGATCTAACCCCAACTGACAGTCCTGTCAGCCCCTCTGTTCCCCTTCATAGCTCAGTGTCCCTTAACATCTCTAAAGGCGAAGCTTACAGGGGTCTGATGCCTCCCCCGCAGAGCCCGGCGCAGGAGCGCCCGGGAGGACCCAGCAAGCAGCCTGCGGAGGAACCCAGGCGGGGGGTCCCCACTGAGCTGCCTGGGAAGTGAGGTTAGGTTGCAAAAGGGGGCCACCGGGCAGGTGTGCGTGGCGAAGGCCTCCTCCGGGCCCAGGAACAACTAAAACAAGTAAACAGCCCTGGGGGAAAAAAAAAAATGTGGAAAGCAAGGTTTCCTCGGGACCGAGCCCAGGCTCGGGACTATCCGGGAAACTGGAGCGCCCCGGCACCCAGAGGAACCCGGGGCCCGCCGCTGGGCCACCGACACCCCTTTCCGGTGCGCAGAGCGAGACCCAGAGTCCCGACGACCAGCGGCAGACCCGGCTCCAGACCTTTCTTCCCCGGGCGCTTTGCTTTCTTCGTAGACGGGCCTGCCCTCCTCCGACCTGGCCCAGCCCGCCCCCACCCACCCACCCACCCCAGGGCCTGTGGCAGGTCCTTCGCCGGGGCCGAGGATGCCGGGGCCGCAACTCGCCCCGACAGCCCAAATCCTGCTCGTCACGCTGCCGACGGGGGTCCGGTTACAGACTTGAAAGTGTGCCGCAGACGGGGAAGGCATCCCCTGGGGAGGCGTGTGTGTGCGCGTGTGTGTGCGTGTGCGTGTGCGTGTGTGTGTGTGTGTGTGTGTGTGCGTGTGCGTGTGCGTGTGTGTGTGTGTGTGTGGAGAGGGGCGGGTGAGGTGGGAGCCGTCTGTGTCGAACCTGTTTGCTCACCACTGTCTCTTTCTCTCGAGAAAAGCGTTAAAGCAAACCCGTAGGGCAGAGGAGCGCCCCGCCCGCCCAGAGCGCACCCACGGCCGCTTCTCCCCGCTGGCCTGGAGCTCCCCGCGGGGACGCACGGCCCGGACTCCCTCCACAGTGCTCCCGTCCCGCACCCGGCGGGAGGAGGAGGGCCTGCCGCCCGCTCTGCCCCGGGGAGGAGTCCCGCTTCCTCCCTCCAGCGGAGGTGATGGAGAGAAGAGAGTCCCGGGTGTTCCCCTCGGCAGACGCCGCTGCGTCTGGGAACCCCCTCTCCAAACCGGTCCCCTCGGCCTCGAGCGTCGTCCTAATGGGCCCGGGGACCGGGCGAGGGCTCGACCAACCGCGTGTGCCCTCCGGGCGCCGTCCGGTCGGGGTTCTAGCTAGGTTTTCGTTCTTGAAGGTCGCGGTGGTCGGTCTCCGGGGTTCCCCCGGTCCAGACTCCTGAGAGAGTTGGCAGATTGCCTCACTCCAGCTTCCGGCCTCCCCTTCCCGAAATTTAGGGCTTTTGGTTGTTTGGTTGCTTGGTTCTCCTCTCCCTGGGTTGGGGGTCCCACTCCCCAAAACTTTTTATTCCCTTCCAGTCTCCTGGCCTCCCCGTGTTAGGGGTCAATTTTCTGAGCACGTCTGTCTTTACACGAGGAGGAGGAGGCCAGCCCCTGCGAGTGGGTGGCGCTGGGCTGTGGGGGACTGGCCTCCGAGACCCCTCCAGCTTTGCCTTGGCAAGCCGAAGCCACCTGACCCCCTGGATGCTAACTCCATCCACCACCTAGGGACCAGTCGCTTCCACTGCGTCAGGCCAAGTGCCCGAGCTCCTCCCGGCCCCGCGGGCTCTGCGGAGAGACAGCGGCCTTGCCAGAGCCCCGAAAACTTGGCAAGCCAGCGCGGCCGGCTCCGCCTCGGCGGGTTCCCGTCTCCCCTCCCGCCCCTTCGCGGTCCGGGCCTCGCCACCATTGTCCCGGCGGACAATGAACTTCCAAGTCGTTTCAATTCGCCCAACGAGGAACGCGCCAAGATTCGGGTTAAGAAGTCTCTCTCGGCTCTGTTTGCGGGGTGTGGGTCGTGCCGAGGAGAAAGCGAGGCTTGGGGGGGGGTGTCGTTGACCTTTGGGGGGGGGTTACCTTGTTACCTTGACGGGGGCTTTCGATTTGACCTCCCGGCCTCCCCCCGCGCCCCCCCCCCACCTCCCCCGAGCCGCCGGTTCGCTCGGGACCAGCACTGGCAGTTGCTGCTTGAGCTGTTTTCTTGGATTCCTTGGCCTAGAAGCAGCCGCCCTGACGGGTGAGCCGCGGCCGAGAAATTCAGAGCATGATGAAGTCGAGGCAGGCAAGGGGGCGCTAGCAACTCGGGGGAGCGGACGGGGAACAGGTCGGCGAGGCCCTGGCGGACCCCGACCGTGGGCCTGCGGAGCTCTGAACCCCGCCGTGGACCTACGGCGTTCCCTGGAAGCTACACCGCCCGGGTTTGGAAGTGAGAGTTTAGCCGCGTTTGCCCGAAGGCAAACAGGACGAGGGGGTCCGCGGCTGGGCTCGCCCAGCCCCAATCCCAGCAAGGGGTCTTCTGCGCCCCAAAGGCTCCAACCGCGGCTCCCGAAGTCTGGGGAGAAAGTTGTGCACCCTGAAGAGGAAAGGGCTGCAAGCCCAGGGCGTCCACCTCCTTCTCTCCATCCACCCCCGATGTCCCCGCTCCCCCAAACCCCCAAAGTCTCCACGCAGGTTAGGGGAAGGAGCCGAGAGCCAGGCGGGGACAGGGTGACAGGCGTGCTCAAGTTTTCTCTCTACTTTAAAGTGTCTGGCGCGGTTTCCGAGTTTTAAGACC